CACCTTGTTAGTCGATACACCACGTCGTCCCCTCCCTCCCCCTCCTCCGCGGGTCCCAATCACTGGGCGGTAAACGTTTTAGGGTCGACCCGGCCCTGTGACAAATTGGCGTCGGCCGGGACCACGCGGTGCCCACCTTACCAGCGAACCGACCTGTGGACACAGGTATTGTCCCCGGACGGCTGCATTCCAAGTCGAGCCGTCGTGCTAATTTACTCGGCTGTGATTTGGCGATACGGCGGTGGGCCGGGCAGTAAAGCGGCGGGCGGCCGGTGGCGGGGAGGGGGCGGGGGCGGCCGCGGTCCGATGGGGGTCGGTAGGGACGCCCCAGCCACCTCTCAACACCTCGGAGTGCGGCGGCGAGCTGCTGTGACGCGCGCGGCGCCGACTGCGGCGGTCGGTCCTCCTGATCGGACGCAGCCCGGCCGCCCATAAATAAGCACACGGCGCCGCCGGCCGGCCGACGACTGCCAGGCCCCGTGACGGACGTCCTCAGACGAGCAATGATATCGATACGGGTACTGGGGCCGCCCCTCCCCTCCCCCGTCCGTCACCCCTCCCTCCGGGCCGTCAGAGTGCGCCGGCAGCACCGGCGCGGCGGCGGCTGGCTCTGATGTCGGGTCATCTCTCGGCCGACTACGGTAGCCGAGGCGGTGTCTCAACTGTAAGGGCGATCGTATTCCCTCTAACCTACCGGTGTGGGTAGTTCCTGTTGGCTCAGGAGATCACTCGACCTGAGACGCTGGGAGAACCCCACGGCACCGTGCCGAGAACTCCTCGTGTTCTCCAGCATGTCACGCCGCTCGCGGCTGAGTGGTGCGTTATATCTATTTCCCTAAACCCCTACCGGAGACAGTAACGGTCTCACAAACTAATGGGCGACACTGGACGCGCAGCTGGGGTGCGCGAATCGCCTGCACCGTGTCGGCACAACAGCTTCGTAAAGTAGCGGCTCGCGGCGCCCCCCGTGAGGCGCTGTCGGGCCGCCGGCGCCGCGCCGTCACTCGCGCTGCCTCGTGGGCAGTGTCTCGTCACTCGTGGCCCGTGTCTCATGTCTCGTGCTGGGGTCACGGCGGACGCCGAGGCGTCCCCTGAGCCAGCAACACAGCGTCCCGGCGAGTGGCGACCGGCGACCGGCAGCCGCCCGCAGAGCGAGGCCGGGAGAGGCGAGCCGGGCGAGTCCCGGGCGAGCCGAGCGAGTCCGGGGCGAGGAGAGGTGGGGCGTGCACGCGACGGCTCGGGGCGGACCACCGGCGTCGCTGGTGCGGCCGCGGCAGGTTCCGGCCGTTCGGGCGGCGGCGGGCCCATGGGTGACAGGCTGACCATGACTCGGTCCGACTGACAGAGGTCCGTGTCGGTCCGAGCAGGGCGCACCCCGACAGACGCCGTGCTGAAATATGATTGTTGGCCGCGCTGTGCCGAGAGAGCGGGTTACGGGTGCATCTGCAGGTGGGGCGAGGGACAGCCACCGGCCACCTGCAGAGCGGCCCATGGTACAGTGTCACCGGCCGGCCGGGGACGGCTCATGAAAATGAATCGATGAAACTACCGTCTTGAAATACAAAACAAATCATCGTAACACTTGAGGATAAGATTATCTTGAAGAAGAACATCTATGCGTATGAATAACTTCATTGATTTTCTTTATTTGCACTTGGCCAGGTCAGTATTCGATATCAAAGCAGTTTCTGCCGAGTGTTTGTCGATCGAGCCTTATGAAACAGGGAGTCGTTCATTGCACATGCACAACCACCGATCCGGATCTGAGTCGGGCAGAGGGAGAGAGGGAGAGAGGGAGGGAGGGACAGGGTAGCGGACAGGGGCGACCTGTACCGTGTCCGGTCACAGCTCCCCGTCTGCAGCTTGCAGGACCACCGGGGCGGCGTCGGTGCCGTCCAACACGTCACCCATGATGCCTTCCGGCGCCCCCACCACCACAGGGGGAGGGGAGGGCGCCGCGGGGGGTCGATCGGAGCGACGGGCGGTGACACGGCCGATAGCAGACCGCTGGACACACAGCTCGCCGCGCTACAGTTGTATGCACGCCGCCGGCGCTGGTGGCGACTCGGTCTCCCCACCGCCCACTCGGTGCTCATTAATTCGGCACCGTCTCCGTGCCGCAAGTATCAATTTACCAATTTGTAGGCCGATTGTAAACAGCGTGCCGCCGGCGCTGAGGACCACCCGGGTGCCGCCGGGCGCGCTGACAGGTATGGACCGGTCGCCACCCGCCCCCGCCCCCGCCGCCGCCGCCGCCCGGACGCCGTCACAGACCGCGCGAGACGCCGGCAATTAGGGCGCCCCCGGGGCATTCCTCGTCAGGATCGGTGTCGCGCGAACGGCCCTGATGAGAGGGGCGTCCTCACGGCGCGCGCCACCCGCGCTGAAAACAAGTGTGGGCCCGCCGGTCTTCGAGCCCTCACCGGCTCCGCTCTGCCCGGTCTGCTCTACTCCAGACCCCAATCCTCCCCTCCACCGCCACCGTTTCCGCGAGACCCGCCTCGCGTCGGCCCGTTTGACGGATGTGCGTCGGCCGGCGGGCGGGCAGCGCCGGCGCCGCGCCGTCTTACAGGTCGACCGAGCTACTTCCAGACACCGTTCGAGCTAGTTGCCACCCGCGGCCGCCCCCGCCCCCGCCCCCGCCACTGCAGCCGGCTGATGTCTGGCCTTCTGTCCGCGAGAGGCCTCTAATGCGCCACCGTAAACTGTTTGAGAGTGTGGCCGCGGCGGCCGGGTTAGCTGGGATCGATCATCGGAGAGAGAGCGGTGGCGGCAGCAGCGCTGGGAGGCCGACGGGACCACCCGGCTAGCCGCAGCCGAGCCCAACATTGTAGGCCGTGCCGCTCACTCTAACGCCACCGAAACGGAGCCGGCGCGACGCCGAAACAGAGACCTTGCCTGCTCCGTGCGGAGAATTGAGCGCGCCGGCCGCGGCGGCGGCGGTGGCGGCGCGGGTGGCGCGTTTCCGGCGCTCTGCCAGACGGCTGGACGGAGCCGGTCAGGTGGACGATGCACGCGCGGCGGCTGCACGCGCGGCCCGCCGGCATCCGACGGCGCGGAACACGATGCCTGAATGACAGCCGGCGGCTGAGCGGGCCACACCTGGACCCCACGGCTGCGCCGCCGCGCCAGACAACCCGGCACCACCCGGCGGGGAAGCGGAGTGCGCAGGGAGAAGGTCGGTTTGTGAGCATTGCAGTATAGTGCCGAGAGAACTGCACTTGTGAGATAAATTATGTAGATATAGCTATGTAGAATGTTTGATTTTTTGCCACTTCACCTTCCATGCATGTATTTTCGGTAGCTTTGACACGGATCTAGAGTTAACGATTTTTGCTGCAATAAAAATGAATGACGTGAGCTTCGTTGAAACACGTGAACGTTAGATTACGTTACACACCGCAGAACAAACAAACGCAGCGGACCGTACTAACGAGATCTCACAGGGCGGCTCTGCGGGACCGGCCGGGCCAGACCGGACCTGGATGTCCCTGCAGCGAGTGTGACTGCAGCGGGCGGCAACCGCCAGACTCGACGCCAACTGACTGACGGACTGACGGACTGACTGAGTGACTGACTGACTGACTGACTGACTGGAGGACGGACGAACGGTGAACGGGTGGACAGACAGATGTACCAAGAGCGATGCATCACTGATTGAAATCTGGCTTAGTCATGACTGTCTCATAGACGTCGTACCAGCTCCTCCGTCCCCTCTAGACTTTATCCGAACTCCACAGTCCGCACCCAACACTCCACAGCCCCACTCGCCACCGATTGCCACCGCCTCCCGTCGCCGTCGTCGCCCCGTCCCAGTCCAATCCCGAGCCATCTGTCGGTGCCGTCGCTCTCGTTACGGCGCCGACGGCCCACAAAGCGGCCAGCGTTCCGGAACGTCGCAACCGACGCGACACCTGCCAGCACCGCGTCGGCGGCGGCACCCCAGTCGATTATTCGCAATGTTCCGATTGTCCGGGGCGATTGTCATCTAATGGGGGAGCGATGGCCGCGTATAATGCCCCCAGGCAGCCGGTGCGGGTGGCGTGAGCCGCCCCGCTGACACCGACACCGGCCGAGGGACCAACTGAGCGGCGTGCGAATCAGAGTAACTGCTGTGAGTGGGGAGGGATGACAGGAGCCGAGGGACAGAGAAGCGGTGTGAAAAGGACGAAGCCGTACCACCGTACAGCGGGATGAAGGAGAGAACGCTGGGAAAAGGCAAACCTACACAAGACAGAAACAGAACTGGGGAGGGATGCTTAAAGTAGGTTTAGGAACGTTTAAAAATAAACATGTAATGCTCAGTTGACGAAGAATAGCAATGTCAGCCAGAAAAGACTGCGCCAATACGAGTCGTCGATTTTTTTAAATCCACAAATACGGATCAAACGCCAGTTCTTATCCATTGAAACACCAGCAAAACATTTTCCCAGCGCCGCCGACTTTGACTCGCCACTGTTTCCGCCCACACCCGATACCCTGGCGTGTCCCGGGGGAGGGGAGCGATCCCCACCATCCCCGGGAGAGTACGACTGGGGAGTGGATCACCCCCGGGTCCGCCCGACCTCCCAGCAGTCAGTCGCGTCATTGTGTCAGGCGCGTGCCGTCCGCGCGGCAGTTGCCGGCACACAATACAGCTGTGACGGCCAGTCAATGGTACCTGATTTCATCTGCACGGCGCCGGCCAACTGGAAGCGACACGCCGCGTTTGACGGGGGACGGAGCGGACCGACGAGTGGGGAGTGGATGCGGGAGAGTTGTAACAAGCTGGTGATGAGATGGACCAGGGGTGATTAATGAACAGTAAGGGGCGCAAGCGTGTGGGAAATGTGCAATCGAGTGTGTATCGCAGCGGGTGTACATATCTGTTGCTGTCGATAAGTGGATGATGACAAAACTTCACTCCCATTCCCCGGCAATCATCACCCTGCATTTTACGTTAACCAAACTCTCATCCCACCCATCACTCAGGGCACCACCACCAGATCACGGGTACTCACCGCCCAGTCTTGGTAATAATCATCTCCGTGCCGAGCTCGAAGAACTTGTCCCAGAGCTCCTTGGCCTCCAGCTGGCAGTGGACGTCCCTCAGCTCCTCGCAGTTGCTGGTCTCGCGGACACCCTTCTTGGCCGGCTTCTGCGGGCTGTCGGACGGCTCTGAGCAGGGCGTCGAGCCGCGGGACGCCGAGTCGTCCATGGCGGCCGCCTCGGGCAGCTCCTCGACGTCGATCTCACGCTCTTCCTCCTCACCTTCCGAGACGCGCACCGCCTCCATCGCCTTCACTGAAAACGGAGGGGAAGCTGGTCAGGGAGGTGCGACAAGCGGCTTCAAAGAGCAGGAAGGTGCGGAGGGAAAATAAAGACTTCGAGATAGGCGAACGGATGAATGTTTTTTGAAGCTCTTGTCATCAATAATGGGAAGTGTGATATGCTGCATTTTAAATAATGACGTCATTCTAGCTTCTGTGGCAGATGTAGGGAACATAAAATTCGTGATGACAAAGCACAATCTACCAAATCTCCCATTCATTTTTCCACATCTAGATGACTTCTTAGCTTGACGACAGAGCAAAGCTCATGCAGATGTCATTCAAGCTCAGCATTATATTACAACAATTCATGACAATCCGTTTTAGCCAAATCCTAATGTCCTTTGTTAGCTGCTGCATCTGAATTTACATGTCGGGCCCTGGTCATCTTACCCTTCACTGGCTTCTAACACATCCATTTTTGAATGTCGACGCTGTAGCTATCTGGGGATTTCCAGCCGGCATTAGAACTCTGACAGATTTTCCAGATCTTCTGGCACCCAGAGAGCTATATCCTTGTCCACTGTCCAGAATGTCATCTGCCTCAGAGGCAGTATTTTTTTTCTGACCTGCCCTACATCTAGTATCTACCACAGCCCCGCATTCATAATTCGCACCACACGGTCCCCATCACTATCCCTCGATCCCCGGTACAAAACACGTGCCTCCCCACCCGACCAGCCAGCGGTAAGCCCGCTCGCCTTCTGCGGCGCTCCGCGCTAATCTGGGGCCATTTGGCCGAAATCAGGAGCGGGTCCCGCCCTGCGCGGGCCGCCCCCGTCGGCACGTGCTTTCTTCTGAGGGCCGCCGGACGCCGGTGCCGCTCTCTCAATGCGCACGTGGATGACGGTAAAAAATATTTTGACGTTTTCATTGTGCGAGCTGACGAAGAAATGCGCCGATCGCGGTGAGGCGAGCGCGATAAAAAGCCCGATATTGGGGCACGTGCGAGGGCGTCGGCCGGGCTGACCGCGGGGCCGGGTCGGCCGGAACTGGCCCCATGGACGACGGGAGTGGGGAGGGGGAGGTGAGAGGTGAGAAGGTGAGTTGCCCGCTGTGAGGTAAGCTCGGAGAGCAGTGTGAGGCGGCTGATCGGCTGATCCCCTTCCGATCGCCGGTCAGTGAGGTCCACTGCCATTACGGACACCGAACGGCCGCTGGCTGATGTCCGGCACACAAAAGCGGATCAGATCAGACCTTATACGGCCTTGATCAGACCTGCACTGCACCTGTTTGTCAGACGACATCGGCGAGAGTGGGGAGGAAGGAAGAGGGACGGAAAATAGAGCACGTCATGAGACAGAAATGGCGACGGAGCTTTCCCAAGAGGTATTTTCTATAAGTGCACAAAAAAAAATACTTCACAAGTGCTTGGTGATGATTACCACTGTGAAGCACAAACAGCTATTTTACATAACTAATTACATGCAAAATGGTTGGGTTATTATATACCACCTTGCATGTTGTGTAGCTTATTTGTACGCATTGTTTAGACCGACAGCGTTGTTCCAAATAGCATCTTATTTTTACGCCCTGAATAGAAGAAAAATAGTCCTAACCAATGAACAACAGCGACATGCAGTTTTACAGCCAATTAAACATGGACATGAATTTTCTGGATCCCACACTTCATCCTAATTTGAGCCGTAATTGAATTTAATGCAAGATTTAGTGGTGCCTTTCGTCACCCGGAGAGTCACGTGACCCGGAGTTGGGGTCAGATCCCGCCGTGACCCCGCGCCGCTGGCAGAGACAGCCCAGCTCTGGTGATGCTGCTCAAAGGGCACCGCCCTGCCCCGAGGGCAGGCGGAGGGAGGGCGGCGGCCAGACCACCGCTGCCGCTGCTGCTGCTAATGCCTAATGCCGCCGCCAGTGATGGTGATTTTGATGGTGATGACGGTGATGGGGCCGGTGATGACGTTTCTGCAGCCGCCCCTGCGGTCAGCATTCCTGCGAGACCGCGGGATGTTGCTCAGAGACCGGACACCGCCGCGCCGGGCGGCACATCAAAGGCAGGCGGCGGCTCTCAGCGGCGCCCAGTCGCTGACCCGCTGACCCGAGCGGTGACCGGACGTCGCAAAATGTGACCCAGCGCTGGTCACGCTGGAACAGAGCATGTTATCCAGTGCCGTACCTACGCACTACGCAGTACTTATATGACGCGTAGTTGAAAGTGAAACTATATGTACACTAAAACGGTCGTCTTCTAAACTGGGACGCACAAATATGGCTAGGTTTTCGTATGTAGTTCGCTGTATCAAAAGAGCCGACCAAATCATGTAACAGCTTTATGTTCCCGCTACAAGGCTGTAACTATTCAGTTATTCACGGAACCTCATGACAACCAATTATCATCAGTTAAGTTCACGTTAATATTCAATGAACGTTTCTAATGAATTTCCCGGACATGCTGTTAAAACTAGCGTGCAGAGTATGTCAACTCGGTAAAAAATGGCGAGAAGGGTCGGGTCCCACAATTTTCTGACCTTTATCATCCAGTCCGCAGTAAGAGCGATCAGACCGCAGCCAACTGACGTGGCTCTCACCTCCTCGCGCTGTTCGACACTCACGGAGCCATCAGACCACGCTGCTGACGTGACTGACATAATTAACGAACGCGTCCAGTGATTGGTCTCGTAGCTCAGTTGGTTAGAGCGCTGGGCTCCGCGTGGTGAGAGCACGCGTTCCCGGTTATGACAGTCCGGGTTCGAAGCGCGACGGGCGCTCGACATTTATGGGCCTCCTGACAGGTATGGTTGCGGTTGGTGGCAGGCCGTAGCCAGGCGAAGTCAGCGAGGGGACCGGCCGTGCGCGGCTTTGTGCGCACGTTAAACTTTGGACTCTAAATTCTGCCATAGAATCGGAATTGCGCGATCGGAGGGTAGAGGGCAGGGTCATCGCAACAAGCTTCGCTTAGCGATGGCTCTGTCCTTGTGAATCCTTCCCATCAAAAAGGTTCGGACTAAATTTATAAAAAAAAAAATTGGTCCGTACTGGTTTAAAAAATAAAATCGTGATCAAATCTCAGCGTACGTGTCAAATAGAATCAAGCTAACAAAAAATTACAATTTTTTTCCGAGTTACAACCCAACTAGACACAAAAAAATACTGGAAAAAACCTAGGTCGTATAAAACGTGCAGCTTGTCGTAAGCGAAGCTGAAAAAGGGTGTTTGTCGCCAGTGAAAAGAACAACCATATCAGTTTCCGAGCTTGCAATGAGATCACTTAGCTGCCTGGAAATCAATCTAACGTGCCGCGTTTCAGACTTGCCGCGAGTAACAGCTCACTGGTGGTCGTATCGATGGCAGGGCTGATCCTGTTTTCCCATCCGTGATCGGCCCCATTTCAATTGAGTCGACAAACACAGTAAGGTCGAGCGATCTATACCGGTTGGGTGTCAGCTCCGGTGTCGGGGGCGCGAGTTTGGCTGGGTGTGACACTGATGAAGCCTTCGACACAAAGACTCAGTTGGTGAGAATGAATCATTGAGACGAGTCAGCGCTACTGGATAAATCTAAGAGTAGGGAAAGACGAGATGTCCCACCGAGCACTGGGTCCGTAAATTGATTCTGTGATCGGAAGGGGCCAGCTCACGGGGTCGGCTCACCACAGAGCGGGGAAAGAACAGCTCACCGGACACCGCTGACGCCCCCGTTGGAGCTTGCCCAGCCGCTACACCCCCGCTCGAGTTTCGTGCAGCGCGGTGCAACACGCCTCTCGCGTGTCCCCGCGGCACCGCCGGGGGCCACCTTTGTATCAATTACCCACCGCGCGGGCGCATTCTCTCGCGCAACGCCTTTTTGCCAGTGTGTCGTATCTAATTTCTGAAACATGACCGACTCTTATTAATTGATGTAATGTGTAAATGAAATCATGGCTTATCATCGCAAAACCTCGGCGCGGCACATCAAAGGCGCCGTCCGACATTAGCGAGCCTGAGATGAGCCGGCCAGCCGCGGGTGAAAAATGACTGGGCCGTGTCGGGCACGGCGCCGAGCGACCGGTGAGCCACACAGGGCGGCCGAGAGGCCGCGGCTGTGCCGTGATTACCGACAAACAGGCTATCAGCCGCGCCGGCGACCACCGCGCGCGGGTCAGGTCAGGTCACCGGGCTCGCCAGCAGACGGTCACACAGTCACAGGGAGAAGAGGAATGGATGGGGATTGGGGAGGTTGGGAAATAGAGTAGAGACAGTCTAAAATCAGGCAAGCTTTACGCAAAAATTGACAGGCTAGAGGAAATGAAAAATAGTTAAATCTCATAAGACAGCCAGTATTGAACTCAACGTGTGAAAATAGCAGACCTCGCTGGGATGAAATGAGGACCGAGCACGGCGTGGGGCCGGGTGAGTAACACCTTTTCACGCTAACCGGTGGGCACGGAGCAGGTGAAAAATGAGGAACAAAATTAACGGGACGGCTCTGCGGCCAACAGATGAGCTAAACGCCCCACCATCAACACCAGTTTGCATCTCACTGCGGCCGGGTAAGAGGCCAAAATGGCGGCGATCGGCTGTTCCCCTGTGGGAACGGCCGGTGCGGGCACCTGACGAGCCCCGGGGGGGGGGGGGGGGGAGGCCGGCCGTGCGCCCCACACTCACCCACCGCCGGAATGCGGCAAATTCCGCGAGCCATCACCTCGGCCCCAGAGCGGCCGGCTCTCCGAACGGGCGCCAGGTGCAGGTTAGCAGCCTGTTAGGAATCATGAGTGGTCGCCGCCGGCGCCGCTCCGCCACCCAGAAAGAGAACTGAGGGAGCCGACTTGACTGGCAGCAGCGCCGACGGACGGATGGGCGGTGCGCCAGACGCCGTCTGTCGTGCGCCACATTGCGAGACACGCCGCGGACGCCGCACGCGTCCCGTGCGGACACCATTGTGGCGCTTCACGTGCGCCACATTCCTGTCCGCACAAAAAGCTGCGGTGGCGGCGTCTGTGGCGCGACGCGACTTTTGCGCCGCGCCGGACGGCCGGCG